CTGAGGGAGGGGGGGTCCCTCGCGCCCAGCTCCCCCCATTCCACCTCGAGAGAAATCCCTTGCAAATGGGGGTCCCCTTTCCAGGCAGTGCTGGGCAGCACCCCCAGCCTCTGCGTGCTCCTGGCCACCCCCAGGGTCAGTGCCACCCCTTGCGCAGGGTGCAGCTCCGGTGGTGACAGGGACACGGAGGTAGGGGTGAGATGAGTGACGTCCCTCCCCATGGAGGGGGCCCAGGAAGGGTCCCTGGTGCACAGACAGGGCCCCTCCCCACCTCAGGGTGCCCCCCAACTCTGGTCCCCATGCTCGGTGCCCCCATGTTTGCCCTTCCAGCTGTCCTGAGCATCATCCTCTTCCTCCTCTTCCAGGAGAGCAGGCAGCTGCCTGCCCTGGGGAAGCATTAAAGCATCTGTCACCTATAGATGGGGGAGATCCAGGCACACCCCCCCCACCCTGCAGGGTGGCCCCCAAGGGCTTGAGACATGTCCCCACTGTGGTTCGCCCTCGCCCCACCCCTTCGCCAGATGCAGCAGCACCAAAACAGTGGGTGCCCCTTGCAGAGCCCCAGTGCCACAGCCCCTCCAGCTGCCCCAGCCAGGAGGAGGACCCCAGTGTCATGGCTACGTACAGCATCATACCCTCAAACCCCAGGCGTTGCTGGTGGCGGGGGGGGGGGCCAGGGCGGCGCGCGTGAGAACAGGAGGAACGCGTCCCCTTGGCCAGGTTGGGCTAACGGTGTCCCGGGCTGGTGGGAGGGGAAGAACCGATGCTGGGGTGCTTGGTGGGGTTTTATTGATGGATGGCTCTGTCCAGGGGGTGGGAAACGGTGGGGGGAGCAGAGGCACATCCATAAACAGCTCGAGTTGTGAATGGAAAGAGACGGATTAGGAGCTGGGTGAAAACATGTCACACGGCGGAAAGAAAAATGAGCAGCTGGGCCAGACCAAATTGGTGTCTGATGAAGGACGTGGGGCCGGGTGGAAAAAGGATCCCGGGGCTGGCAGTGCTGCTTGGGGGAGGCTGATGGGGAACAGCTGGAGCCGGACATGCACATCTGGCGGAGCAGGGCAAGAGAGAGGTGGCGGCACCGATAACCACCGTGCCTCCGGCCACCAGGCTGGGGTCACGGCTCGTCCCCGGGCTCGGTGTGTTGCAAGGGGCTGATGCTTCATTTTCGGATTGCTCCTAGAGAGAGGGTGGCAGCACCGTGGCCATCCCCAGCAGGGATTTATTGGTGGGGTTCAGGCTCTGCAGTGACAAGGGGTCCCCAGGTGGAGGAGCCACCGCCTCCTCCTCCATTTGCATACATGTAAATAAGCAATCAGCATAACAAGGGTGAATGCAAACCAGGCTTCCAGTTTTCAACCGAGTCCTATTTTTAACCTCGGAAAAGGGTTTCGGCAGGAAGCGGTTTTTGCGGCAGGCCCTGCCCCAGTACCTGTCGCTGTGTCCAGCTGCGTGGGCTCTCGCACCAACCCCTTAGCCCGAAGTGCTGCCAACACCACGGCCACTGGTGGGTCAGCGCTCGCTGCGCTCTGCTCCTGTTACCCAGGGAAACAGGAATCTCACATCTTTGCAGAAATGTGGACATCATGCACCGGCTCATAGGAGGCTTTTTGGGAAGCTCTCCCTCCCACCGAGCCCCCAGGTCCCGCCTGGAGCCGGGGCACACACCCAGGGAACCACCCTGGCGCCTCGGGAGTGAAGCCCCATGCTTAAACATGAGGGTATATTTAGACAGCATCAGTTTAAGTTTGCACATCAACCTATAAATATGAAAGCCCATCTCAGCGAGATGTTTAAGATACCTCATCAGTCCTTGGAAAATATGGAGGAATATTAATTAGCCAGATTTGGGTATTATCTCGTAATGAATAAATGAAGAGACTTGCTGCCTAAGATGAATCACTGGCGGCTTGTTGGGTTTTTGGGTTTTTTTTAAGAAAAGTGTGTTTCTAAGGTGATTCATTCTTTTTAACCCAAGGTCTGTGGAGGGACTTGGGGATGCAGCTGTGCTAGGGCTGGGCAGGGTCCCCAATGGCTGTTGTTTTACACCCGAATTGTCCACAGCTGGCTGTGGTGCCTGTGGGGACGGGGGG